AGCCAAAAACTTTCTCCACAAAATTTTCACCAAATTTCACCTATTTGTAAACTTCAGTATTGTGTTTTTTTAATAACGGCAATTGAATTTAAAGTTTAATTTGCGTGAGAGAGTTTATATTTTAACCCAAGGTGACTATGGCCTAAGATCTATTATAAATAAATAATAAATTTTGCAGTAAAAACGTTTTTATTCTTCTTCCTTAAAAAAATAGCAACTGAAAAATAGCTATTGAGATTTTCTCAAGCAATTAAACACCAGCTTTAAAAGTTACGAGTATCTTAATAAAATGCACTAATTCATTCATTTTACCATTTTCACAAATAAAAATAAGGTATCAGGAAGTACTGTTAACCCATTTGACCAAAGAGGAAACAAGCCCAATGGTCATCAATATCTATATCCATAATACAACATGAAGCATATTTTAGACAGGTGCTTCTAAATACATGACTCCCAAATACTTGACCTACTAGTACTACTTCAGTAAAACAACTGAGGTACACCTGCTAATATTGTTGCAACAAAACATTAAAGCATAAAACTAGTGTTTGGCTATGCTTTAAAAATTGTTATTGTGACCAAAAATGCAGACAAGTACTCCAAGACACCAAAGCGATGAGTTAATTTATTCAAGAGTTACTACTCCTATGGCATTAATTTGTGGAAAGGATTTTAACAGAGTATGCAAACCAAGATGGGTCAGATTATCAAAACCTAACAGACTCTGCCAAGTTACCCATCCACTTCTGAATGGCTGGGCCATTCCTAAAGTGTTACCTGGTCAAAATGGACACAGATACCAAAGAGTGCATCATCTGTGCCAAAGTGTTCAAACACAGCTCAAAACATCACAACAGCAACACAGTCCACACGGACCAATCTGCTATGGCGGCATTTCTAAAAAGGCATTCACACTGCCAGGAAGTGTTAAGCACCTGGGGACTAATGAAAGGGATGAAGCCAGTGTCGTTTCTGATCTTTAATTATAGTTATTTATGAGTATCTTGTCTTCTTTTTGTGAGGGAAGCACCTTCTTGAAGAGGGTGTCTCTCTCTGACTCATCTTTGTGGTCACAAAGTGATAAATATTATATGTTATATATAATATAGGCCTCTGATATTAAGAGCGAACTCAACCTGGCATAGAAGAGGCTTAATCTAAGAGATTCTGCTACATCAGAGGACAATTCTGGGGAAGGTGACCACTTGGGATTTCCTGTGCTACCCCTGACTGGGATGGGGCTCCATTTCCTTCTAAATGGTTGGTTTCATGAGATATCCTAATATGTTTTTGTTTCTAAATCCCTCCCTCAGTTTGTGTATTTCTTAGAGGATCTAAGTGTACAGATTAACAGCTTATTGTGGTTGTTCCATTTACAATGTGTCTTGCAAAGATAAGAACTACGAAAAGGATGAAAATTTCAGAGGGAAGTAATAATAACTTGCTGAGAAGTGCACAGCTCGAGTATTGGAGTTTATTGAGAGTAAGTTTTGACAGAAATGTCTTCATTTCCTTTTTTTTAAGATAAGGTATCTAGCCTAGTAGATCACAGAAACAAACACATAGACACGGTACAGAGATACAGTACCAAGACATTTGACAAACCATTGCATGAACAGAGAATTACGGATGGACCGACAAAGGGTCCAGGACACCCTGGAGCGGTATTTATTGTACAGTGACATAGAATGATGACTTCATAAATCAAGAAATCCAAACTAAAGAGAGGTTTTGCTTCCAGTAAGCTTGTTTGAAAAACAAACCTTTTTCATACTCTTTTTCTAATAAGAAATAGAAAAATTATGAGAAAAAAATACATACATCTATTTGAGGACACTTGAGAACTAAGACAGCAAGAACTTGTGTTAAAGATCCAAAAGAAGCCGGGTGTGGTGTCTCACGCCTGTAATCCCAGCACTTTGGGAGGCCGAGGCAGGCGGATCACGAGGTCAGGTGTTCAAAACTAGGCCCGGCCAACATGGCAAAACCCCATCTCTGCTAAAAGTACAAAAAATTAGCCAGGCGTGGTGGTGGGCGCCTGTAGTCCCAGCTACTCAGAAGGCTTAGGCGGGAGAATCCCCTGAACCTGGGAGGCAGAGGTTGCAGTCAGCTGAGATGGCACCACTGCACTCCAGCCTGGGAAACAGAGCAAGACTCCGTCAAAATAAATAAATAAATAAATAAATAAATAAATAAATATCCAAAAGATAAGGGAAGCTCATTGTCATAATCCAAACATGGCACTGTTTCTGCTTTTGAGGTATTTGCCCACACAACAGGAAAGGGAAAGGCTGGGAGCATGCAGTGACTGAGCACCTGAGACACAGAGAAGGGCTGGCAGCCCCACAGAGCTCAGGCACAGGGAAGAGACACAAAGTTCAGTCTCTATCCAACAGAAGGGGCCCTGCTAAAACACCTCAGGAGTTCAACTGGGATTCTGAAGAGCTTTGCCCTGAAAGAAAAGGGAAACTGGAAATTGGCCCGCCCTTAGAGAAGGATTAAAGCCCAGGCTGCAGTCAGCTCAAATTATGATTATATTAAAATTACCTGCCCCTGGCCTGACTACCTAGAAGAAACAAAACTAAATCCTCTCTGGGATGATGAAGTGTTCAAAAATTACATATTAATGTGCAGAATTTGGGCAAGTAACTGAAAACAACTGAAAAATAATCAAATAGAAATTCTGAGATTAAAACTTTTTTTTTTATTTTTAATAGAGATTATGTCTCGTTATGATGCCCAGGCTGGTCTTGAACACCTGGCGTCAAGCAATCCTCCCACCTTGGGATCCCAAAGTGCTGGGATTACAGGTGTGAGCCATTGCACCCAACTTCAAATGTAAGTTTTTGAACTGAAAAATATAGTGTATTTAAGTTGAAGTCAATAACAAAAGAAAAGCTCCAATTGTTTGAAAATTAAGCAATGTACTCATATGAGAAATCATAAGGAAGTTAGAAAATATTTTGATCTGAATAACAATGGAAATATAAAATTCAAAACTTGTGAGATGTAGGCAAAAGCCTGTGCATAAAGTAACGTAGAGACTTAGTGCAGACATGAGAAGGTAAGAAGGGCTGAAACTGTTTGGCAGTATCCGCTGAGATATGTACAGTCAGGTGCCACATGTTCACATTTCCCTGCATGTAAGACGGTATCTCTCGCACTGCCTTTTCTACCGTTGGATAAGTTTAGATACACAAATACCACCGTGTGTTATAATTCTAGGTACTGAATGTACTTACAATATGTACTTACAGTACTCAGTATAGTATCATACGGTACAGGTTTGTAGCCTAGAAGCAACAGGCTATAGCATATAGCCTAGAGGTGTAGTAGCCCTATCACATGGGCTTGCATTGGTATACTCTGTGATGTACACAGGACAAGGGAATTGTCTAACAATGCACTTCTCACAATGTATGCCCATTGTTAAGTGAGCCATGGTTGTATTTTTTTTAAATAAATTTTATTGTGTATATTTGAGGCTTACAACATGATGTTATGGGATACATGGAGATAGTGAAATGATTACTACAGTGAAGTAAATTAGCATATCTAGCAACTCACACAATTACCATTTTTTGTCACAAAATCTACTTATTTAACTTATTTAACAAGAATCCCTAATACAATACAATGTTATTCCCTGGAGTCCTCATGTTGTACATCACATCTCCAGACTTGTTCATCCTACATATCTGCACCTTTTATCCTTTGAACCACATCTCGCCATTTCATCTCCCCTCACCTCCGCCCCACCCCCAAGTCCACGGTAACCACTGTTCTATTCTCTATCTCTGTATATTTGATCTTCTTTTCAAGAGTCAACATAGAAGTGTTCCACATATAATGCATGTATAATAGACATGTACATTAAGGCATAATTTTTAATAATCAGAAATTGAAATAAACTTTAATGTACATTAATATTACATGAGATAAAGAATTTATGGTATGTACACAAAAGTGGAACACTATATAGCAATAAAAATGAATGTGGATCTTGAAATGCTATTGAGCAAGGCAAGCCATCAAATTAATACATACGCTATCCAGTCTTAGGAAGTTCAAAGCAGGTGAAAAATTAACCCTCAGTGTTCACGAGGCCATAGTACCACCTTTAGGGAGAAGGGAAATAATGAGGAGAAATCATGGTAATAACCCAATTCAGGACCTGGGTATTGGTTACATGAGTTCATTTACTTGGTGAACAGACTTTAATATTCCAAAAATCAAGGATAAACAAGCTCTGGCCTTAACATCAGTTTAGTTAAAAAGATTCAGGCCAAGATTCAGGAAACACCTTTCCATGAGGCATTACGAGGACCTCGTAAAGTCTGACTTCAGTTGTGGGAATCCTGAAATATTGGGTTGTCCGACAAAAGAGCAGCTTGACTTAACTCTGGAGGACAAAACTCAGCATAATGAGGGAAAGTACGTTACAAGACTCAAATTTTGATTCAATATTCTAACTGCTAACAATAAAACTGCCCAATAGGCCAGGCGCAGTGACTCACGCCTATAATCCCAGCACTTTGGGAGGCCAAGGCGGGCAGATCACTTGCAGTCAGGAGTTCAAGATCAGTATGACCAGCCTGGCCAATATGGTGAAACCCCATCTGTAATAAAAATATTAAAATTAGTTGTGTGTGGTGGCGCACGCCTGTAATCCCAGCTACTCGGGAGGCTGAGGCAGGAGAATCACTTGAACCCGGGAGGCAGAGATTGCGGTGAGCCAGCCTGGCGGACAGAGTGAGATTTCATCTCACAAAACAAACAAACAAACAAAACACTGCCCAATAATGGACACACTGTCTCAATAATAAAGACTATTCCATGCTCTGAACTTGTTCACATCAAGGCGGAAGGGCCACTCATCAGGGGTGAGCGGAGTTTCCCACACCACACCGGGTGAGAACTGACCGCTGGAGCCCCTTCCACAGCCTTCAGACTCTAGGCATATGGGTCAACACGGAACCACAATTTAAACCTCTTACCCTTAATCTTGTAGTGGAGATCTCAGCTTTTAAAATATCGGGATCATATTTAGTACTGGATGAAGATCCTGAGAATACTTTTATAGAGAAAAAAGAAAAACTAATTATTTACAAGTTGCATAACTAGTTCTCAGCTTATAATTTCTTGAAGCTGTACACAGGGGGAAAAAAAGAATTTACTGAAGCTAAAAACAAGATTTATGTGCTTCTGTGAATACTTGCTTTCTTTTTATAATTCCTTTATTGTCATTTATCAGACACCTAAATATAAAAAGTAATCTTCAAACCTCTACCATATTTTTAAACTCTGTGAAGAGAAACATCATTAAGACCTTGGTGCTTAATTTTCTTCTGGATTTCATATACACTACGTCCTTAGAGGACTATACTGCAGCAGCACTTCAGAGTTTTGCATTATCAAGGCATTTATAATTTAAGCAGAACTTCTGAGCTCATCACAGCTGCTTCTTTAAACAAAGTCAGCTCCAAATAATCAACCTGTGAGATGAGGGAGCGGTAAATCAACTCAGATGGTCAACAGAAATTACACTGTAGGTAATAGTTGCAGTTCCTCCCCACTACAAATACTGTACAAAAGTAGCAAAAAGGGCCAACTTACTTGCATTGTTCTGAAAAGGTAAAAATTAACTCGTAAATGCATAAAAGGCAACCTGGCAGAGGCAGGTACAGAAACAGAAGGCATGCACAACCCCCAAACGGCGATTATTTGATCTGGAGTGGGGGTGAGAAAATCTGGGGTGTGCCTTCACCTCTCACGGTTTTGAGAGACTCTTCCTGCTTAGGAGGGAAAAGGACTCAAAATTAAACTCCATAGAAATGTAAGTGGTCTTCTGTTATCTACAATTCGGTCTCCACTTCTAAAGTCTGAATAGACACACTGTACTTACAGCTTGTGCGAGAACTTGACTTTTCCTTATAGGCATCATTTAATCGCACGTATTCATCCAGGGCCAGCGCCAGCCTCTGTTCCTTCACATGGTACAGCTCCTTCTGTGTCCGGAGGGCATCCCGCGCCACAGAGAGGTAGTCCTTGAGCATCTTCTCCTGTTCCCCCCTCCATTGTTTTCTTGGATCTTCTATCTGTGTGGTTTCTGAAAACATTAGGTGGAGGGTATTTTTTAGAATTTAACTTTGTTTTCCGGATTGTTTAAACTTTAGGGAGTAGGCTAGCTTAAGTTCTTGTATCCTCTAGGGAGTTTATTTAGCTGTGCTGGAGTGACTTCTCCAGAAATTTTATAGTTTTATTTTACCCAGTCCCATCAATTTCCTTCCTCTTTCAGGTTCTCATCAACAATGCATTCTCACTATAAATCTACCACATACAATGTTGTCAATCAGATCATTTCTTTCAAGAATTCTGTGGCTCCCCAGTGCCTACAGAATAAAAGCTAAGCTATTCATTCCAGCACTCAAGGTCCCGCATAATCTGGACCCAACCTACCTTCATTCACCTAACATGGGACTCTAGCCACACTGCCCTCTGCATCAGCTCTAATCAAAGCTGGTCTACTCTGCAGACCAATACCAGTGCATGAACGCAGTTTCATGTCCAGAACAGTAAGGACAGAAATAGACAGAAAACATTTTGTAATCGTTAGAGCGATTTTAGTCAGTTATTGTTTATCTGTTGATAAACATTTTGCATTTCTTTGTGTGTATACATTTTCACTTTTCCAGTAATTCACTTTTTCTTGTAGTTTACAAAAATATCAGTGAGTCTGCAGTGGATCTGAAATTTAAAAATAAACAAACAAACAAAACCCTGGTCCTGTTTACACAGGATGCTCTAGCCTAAGGCCCTGGTTCTTGCTTCTGCACTTCTGCAAACTACAATCAACCAGAGACCCTTTTTAAAAAAAAAAAACCCAGACCAGTTAGAGTTTCTGTGGGTGGAACCCAAGCACTATCGATTTGAAAGCTGCTCAGGTGATTCCAGTGAGCAGCCGAGCCCAAGAACCAGTGCTCTGCAACAGCATTCACACGCTGCCTCCTCCAGAAGGTGCCTCCTCCAGAAGGTGCCCCAGCCACCTCATCTGCAGGTCAGCCCTTATCCTCTGTCTTCCACGGCAGCTTATGCTCAGTTTATAAACTCCAAACACATTCTTTACTGTATGGTGAAGCCACAGTAGGGGCCACAAAACGTGAAGAAAAACAAAAACAAAAGAATCAGATTACCACAAACACTTTATGTTCTCATATGTAAAAACTGACATATTTTTTGACCACACGTTGGGCCAAGGAGTTGGAGTGTACTGGTGTCCAGCATTGGGGTACCATGATGTGTACAAGAGAATGGATAGTTTTGGTGATGGTTAGTGCAGGTTGGTTAAGAGACATCCCCCTGTGTCTGCAGACATGTATTGGATCCCTCTGCTGTGAAAGAAAGGAGAGTGGCCATGTGCCAGTAGAGGAAGGGGCTGAGAATGGGACAGAGTAAATAAAAGAGGCTTCCTGGATACTGATGTTCTATTTCTTTCACCCATCGAAATTACATAGTTCACTTCTAAAATATTTGATAAACTTTGTTATTTCAGTCTGTGCACTTTTCTGTATGTTGTATTCAGTAATACAATGTGTTAAAATAAAAGTAGAATAGTTCAAAGGCGTAAAAACTATGGTATTGTGACTTACGATCTTGTCTCTAGCAGGACATTGTATCTAAGTGGATCCCACTCCCAACAAGAGCAAACACAAACAGGGGATAATTTGGGACAAACAGAAGTATGGCTTTAATACAGAAAACACATGAAGCTTGATACACAAAAGATTAATAGAGATTTTTAAAAAACAAAGCAAAACACAAAGAAGGCCATGGTGGAATAACAGGGCCACAGTAAATAACTAGAAGACAAAATATATGAACAATGGTTTTCAGATGTTGGACAGCAGGTAGTACGAATTGTGATCTCTGAAAGAAGGGAAATGAATCCCATGATTATCCTACATTTCTGTCTGAAAGCACTTTTTGGACAGCAGTGCAAAGAGGGGTAACTGAAGCAGAGAAAGGAGGCACTGCTGAACTGAAGCGAGAGGCAAGCAGACTTCATGGAAGCCATGAGAGGTGGAATTTGTAAAGCAAAGCACAGAAGTTCCAGAGACTGGAGAAGTTCCAGAAATTTGCACAGGGGTTACAAGACGTCTGTGGGTGAATGCTAAGATCCACAAGGGGGAAGTGCACAACGCCAGGCAAAGGACAACTGGGGTGCTATAGGCAGATAATTCCCTGAGCTCACACAGGGCTGTGACAGTTTCCAATTATGACCAGCCAGAGGAGAAAGGACACAGTGAACATCTAGGGAATCCAGTGGAGACCACAGCAAAGTTACACCTTAACAACACAGCTAAATAAGACATAGAGTAAAGGCTACTCTGAACCTAACCTAAAGGACCAAACTGGTCAGCAAGTAATTTAACTGCCAGTCAGAAGAAAAAAAGTACAAATCTCCCTAAAAGGCACAAAACCTAGCACTCAATGAAACCAACAACAACAAAACCAACTTTATAATGTCTAGCATCCACTATAATGTTACTAAACATAACAAAAAGCACAAAAATATGGTCCATAATCAGGAGAAAAATCAGTCAATAGAAACAGATCTGGAAATGTAGAAATGATGGAATAAGCATAATCTAGATAAAACAGTTATGTTACAACAGAATAGAGTCCAAAAATAAACCCACACATCTACTGACTACTGTGCAAACAGTCAGTAAGCAGATGAAAGGAGGCTCAACATCGCCAATCATCAGGGAAATACAAGTCACAACGGTAATGGGACACCACTGCTCACTATATAAAGCGGCTAGAATTTGAAAACTGACCACGTCAAGTGTTGAAGAGGATGTGGGGCAACTGGAATTCTCATTCATTGCCACTGGGAATCTAAAAAGGGGCAATCACTTTGGAGAAGAACTTAGCAATTACCATACAACCCAGCAATCCTACAACTTGTTATTTACCCAAGAGATCCAAAAATATGTATATACAAAAAGACCTCTGAACAAATGCTCATTAACAGCTTTATTCATAAGAGACAAAACTATTACAGCTAATGGCTAAGCAAATTGTAGTATATCCATACAATAAAATACTACTCAGCAACAAAATGAAACAAAATACTCAACAGCAATATATAAGACTCTTAAACACAAGCTGAGTGAAAAGACGCCAGACACAAAAGAGCACATGCTGTATGATTCCATTTATATGAAATGTGGGCAAACGTAAAGCTAATCCAATGACAGAAAGTGGTTGCCTGGGCCCAGCAGTACTGAGAAGTACTTGTTACAACAGAGCAAGAAGAAAGCTCTTTTTGAGCGGATGGAAATGTTCTCTATCTTGATTATTGTGATGGTTACATGGTGTACACTTGTCAAAAACTCATGAACTGTATAGTGAAAATAGATGCAATTTATGTATTTGTATACAATAACAAAGCTGATTTAAAATATGCTTTACAAGGTTCAAATGAATGAATGATGATGACTGATGAATGTTAGAGAGAACTGAGGTATAACAATACCTCAGTTATAAAGGACAAAGGGATGCTATAGGCAGACAAACAGATGCTATCAGAACAGCAATAAAAATCCTTCGCCACTATCAGCTGTTGAAAAGAGCACTGGTTAGGGAGTAAGGCCGTGTGGATTCCATATCCAACTAGTCAGATGTGAGACTCTAGGAGAAATATTTTACCTCTGTTACTCTCACGTCTCTTGGATGTACAAAGAGGGTGAAATATGGACGAATATTTTCCGATGTAGCCTTTGTAGTGGACACTGTTGGTGTCCTATCCTGGTATTCTCGGGTCTTTCTGCCCTGGTCTGCTCTTTGCTGTTGATGGATGTCTGACTGCTCTAGAGCACTTCGCTAACTCACCTGCAGCCAGTGACTGACCAGTGAAGAAGACAGAAAGAACCCCCAGCTAGAGCAAACTCTGAGGTAGAAATTGTACTTTGGAGTCACCACAATCAAGTGGAGGCAGAGACTTCACAGAAATAAAACCTTCACTTGTTTTTTTCCCTCACTTTCTTTCTTTCCTCATTTCCTTAATGGTTTATCCCGGGATTTCCTTCATAAACCACGTTCACTTAAATTCTTGGCTTAGGGCTTGCTTCTGAGAGAACTCAACCCAACGTACCCTTGTATAATCTATGCAAATGGAAACGAAAGAAGTTTGGTCTTGGACTGTACTTCTCATACCCTCCTGTGACGGCTCTTAGTAACACTGTGTGTATGGGCAAGGCAGGGGAGAAATGAGAGGAAGATTCACTCTTGAAAATAAAAAAGGAAAATAAACCTGTCATTAACAGAGAAATGCAACAGCAAGTTCTAGCAATCGTTTTCTAAGATTCTACTAGAGAACTGAATAAATAAGCTGCTCTGGTTATTGTAAAACATAAAATTAGATTAAGGCACAGCCTAATTGCCTCAATAAAATCACTTTTGTGCACCATTACTAACAGTACTCTTAGATTTTAAGCCCTTGATGTCATATCATACCTGAAAATACTTCCACAGCCCACTCAGAGTTCCACAACCCCTTTCCCAGCGGTGTAGAGAGTGTACATCAGTCAGCCCAGACTACACTGGAAACGAAAGGTGTGGATACAGAAGGACTACGGAACATACAAAAGGGAAGTGTTCCAACAAGAACCTCGGCATTTATTACTGGAAGGAGATGAGGAGGTACCGAGGTGCAGGAGGGAGAAGAAAAAAAGAAAATGATACGGTAGCATTAACCTGGGTGGCAGAAAGGCTGAGGTACATGGATTGTGAAAAACTAAACAGGAAAAGGAGGGATAATTCTTCCTTCCTCCTAATACCTGAATAATTAAAATGATTCCACATTGGAATGTACGTTGAGAATACTGAGACTCAGGTCGTAATGAAGTAAGGTTAAAAAAAAAAAAAAAAGAAGCACATGAATCATTTGAGTCCTGAGGAAGTTTTAAGACTATGAATACTGGAAAAAAGAACTGAGATGTAATATCCCAGCAGCTAAGATCATAAACTCTGTATTCAGTCTAACTGGGTTCAAATCCAGGTGTGTCATTTACAAATTGTGTGACCTTGAGCATGTTCTTAAAC